GGTGAAACTAAGCAAACTTTAATTTAAAAAAAATTCCTTGAAGCAGTCAGGGTGACAATAGATGTGTTTTCTCTCCTTTCATCTTATCGTTGAGTATTCTTTACTCAAGTCTAAATTATGTATCTTTCTAAAACACCATTCCATATTTCAAAGATGGATTTTTTTGAGCTGAATCAGGAGATGATAAATGGAAGTCCTGTGCCTGCACTGTGCTCAGCAATGCAGCCCCTAGTACAGTTTGGTTATGAATGACCTTACAGGTAAGGAAATGGGATTTGAAACAGGAAAATAACAAAAAACTAATGCCTCTGCTCTTCATGGTAGTATCTCAGTTTGTCCACTGGTGGTTTAGATTTATTTCCTATTGAAAACAAGGAGTGTCCAGTGAGTGTGTCTGAGCTTCGTGTTGTTTGTGAGCAGGCAAAGCCCAGCTCCTTCACAAAGTTATGAATGGGGCAGTAGGGTTGGTAGTGGAGGTGTTGGACGATGGTTTCCTCTGGAAGGAAGTGGGAAGGCAGGAGTGGCTGAGGGACAAATGGGTTCCCAGAACAGCATTGCTACAGCTTCCTTGCCAGCTCCTTCTGGAGGTCGTGTCACTTTCAAGTATTTATCTGCAGGAACATTCTAGTATTGAAGTCCATAAGATGGGTTATTCTTTAAAATCTAGCCCATCTCCACTTTTGCTTTTCCTAGAGGATTTCTTTAAGGATGTTTATGTTGTACAATAGAAAAGAGGGCCTTCCTTCAGAAGTGGAAGAAATGCCCTGGATCTCAATGCTAAGGTAATGATCTACCAAGAAGAAAGTGTAGCCATAAAATATCGTGGGTATGGCAGCTGCTTCACTTACCTGCTAATGTGCACACTTGGTCTATCTTAAATGGCACAGTGAATGCAGTTCTGTGATTGCTCAGAGTAGGCTTTCAGCCCTTCATCTTTCTTCCTGGAGAAAACCACTTGATTTTTAAGCTGTCTGTCTATATACTTGCTTAGATATTTGAGGTTTCTTTAAAGGTATGTATCAGAGACTGTTATCCAAAGAACTTAAGTTTAGTGTAATGTCTGAATATGCTTAAGGCTTTGTTTCCATGCAGGTAACTAAGGCAGCTAGAAAATGGAGAGGTATGTTCATTCCTGTGAACTATTCAGCTGAGTCACCTTGACTTTTCTGGTGTTTTCTGCCATTGCTCTGTGCTATCTGTTTCTTTTAAACCCCTCTTCAAGACCATAACACTTCTCATTGCAGCTTTGGTTGTCGTGAACTTCCCTTGATCTGATCAGGCTTACTGTTGCTACTCACTGCTTCAGCATGGCTTCTGTCTCTGAGTAGATTTCAAGGTGTATTTCTTACAGTTGGAGGTCATTATTTTTGATGGCACAGTTAACCTAGGTCTTTCTGGGTACATAAATTAGTTGTACCTTCTGAACATTGTATTTGTTTTGGCTTTTGTCCTTCAGCAGTAGAATGGATCTATTGGTCCATCTGAGGCATGCATTAATATAAGGAAGGAGTCTGCCAGAAATAAGTTAGTTGGCCAGGAGATCAAATAAACATTTTTAGCGAGGGCAGGGAAACACCTCTGCTTTATCTTAGCTTTGCTGTCTATAGCTTTGAATTCCCTAGAAAACAGCAAATATGTCACTTCTCCTATTTAATTCATGATTCATTTGGTAAAGATACTGACATTCCACTTCCAAGCTGAGGACATTTCTGTTGTGGTGGAATTTTTTTCTCATTCAACTATTATTAGATATTTAAAAACATGTTAGGCTTCTCTTCCCATCCCCAAGGCCCCACCAGTAACGATCTGTTTCTGTAGTGAGTTTGAATCTGCCCTTAGTGGAATCCTCTTACAACATTCTGTAATGGTTCCCTCTGTTGTCGGTTCCTGGCATAGCCCTTTTGTTTTTTCTCCTGGGACAGTAGGAGTGATCAAGTCCCTGCTAGTCTAGAAAAGGGAGAATCAGCTGCCATTTAGGAGTTTATCCTTGAATTTAATCTCAGTGTACCTGTTTGGTGTTACCTTGGGGAGCAAGGAGATGCAATGCTTCATTTGAAGGCTGATCAGTTTCTTAGTTGTGTGGTGTGGCATTTCATTTTGTGTACATTTGAGAAGACTTGAATACTTGGATATTATGTATGCTGAATCAAATTATATTGGCTAAATATCAGCTTCTTTCAAGGGCTCTTCACCTTTCCTGTAATAACTAAGGAGAGATCAGAGGATTATCACTTTCAGTTGTGGAAAACTAAAGCTGTAAGAACATGGCTTTTAATCACCTGCAGAATCCTTGGTGGTTTAATTGGGATTTATTCAAGCAGAGCTAGGCCACATAAATAGCTTCTTGTATGGAGATTGTCAGCTGCTGAGAACTGCTCAGTGGAGTTGAGATTACCCTTTTAATTATTGGTATGTCTTTAGTTGGTCCTCTATGATGCTCTAGGACCTTGAGGATGGCAGGCCTGATTCCTGAACCCTTCTCCATTTTTACTGATTGTTGAGGGCCACTTAGGAGTGTCCACAGTATGTGTGCACATAGGAAAACATTTCAAGAAAGTTGAAGAGAGTCCTGTAAGTGCTCTTTGAAAGCTGTTATCTATAAATTGCTGAGCCATCTCTTCTCCAGTGCTTCAGAAAGAAATGGGTACCCTTTGGCTGAAAGGAATGGAGGGACGAGAAGCATATTCCACTCCTTTTATAGCTTATAAGTGATACACCTAGAGGAAAGAGCTTACCCCACAGCTTTCTTAGATACCTCAGAAGTAAATTTTTCTGATTTGAAGAATGCTTCCATATAGGTATATGGAGATAAGACATCTGGGAGCACAATTTAAGTAAATTTCCCTTTGCTGTACAGCATCTGTGTATATCAGCATTTGTCTGTGAGTGTGATGATTGGTCTTGACAGTCATTCTTTAGTGCTGTCAATATTATTGCCTTCCTCTTTTTTTGCAGCAGCAGATTTTCAGGTTTCTTTACCATTTACTCATATACCAGATTTCACATGAACTACTACAGGCAAGAGGAAAAATTTACTCAGTCTTTTGGTGATCATGCCACTTCTGGGCTTTCATTTGCTAGTGATCAGCAAAACGTATATTGCAGAAGTATAGGTATATTAATATTATGCAAACTTGTCTTTTTTAGGTGCTCCAAGTTATGTTAGAAACAAGCCTGCTTTTCCATGTGGTTGGGCCCCAGCCCTGTGTGTTTTCGTTTAGTAAAGAATGAACTGTGACTAATGCCATGTGTTGGTTATTTCTCTTTACATAAACTCATACCAGGTGAATATAGGAAGAGAGCAGACTGGTGTAAGCTACCAGCAACTTCTTTGTAATTTGCTCAAAGTAGCACTGGATATCAGCTATCCAAGAATATTGCTGTTCTGTGGAGTAGTGTTCTTGCATCAGTTTCATCCTCAAAAAAAAAAAAATCCCCAAGCTATCACTATGGAAGCTTTCCACATAATCTGTCTCTTTCAATTCCTAGAGACCCACTGACACTTGTGAGTCTTCTGAATGGTGATTTTTCTCCCCACCCTGGGGGCTTGGTCTTAATTTCCAGATCCTGGAAGGAATTGTGAACCTAAATATATAAAGGTGTTTTGTGATAGAATAATTTTTGAGTCTTTATGATTTATCTGTGAAATCTGACTGTCAGATGACTTTATTTGAGGAAAAACTGAAGGGAGAGTTCTTATTCCTAAGTAGAGTATCAAAGTTAAAATGAGAGGAGAGAACATTTAGTAGAGAAAATTGGAATGTGGAGTAGCTGTACTTTTTTTTGTGTAAGACACTTATACAACATTTTTGTAGATAATAATTTAGGTTTTAGTGGGACTTTTGTTAAATTTCCTGTATTGGCAAATGTTCTAAGATATATGTAAATGTTGTGGTCTAATAGTAGTTAATTTATATAAGAGACTTCTTTTATATGCTTCTTCATGATACAGATAATGCACTAGCATCAGTAGGATTTGAGACATCTTTTTACAAAACTCAGTTTCTCCCTCTGCTGTACAAGACAAGCCTTCTCAGTTTTATTTGCTTTCCTTCCTCTTCTCTTTCTTCCTCCTACACTTCGGGTGTGTGGGTTTCAATACGTGTGCAGTTTTTTCTTTCTGCCAGCAAGTCTCTGCACTAAATTCTGGAGTATACTACACTTTACTAGTCAATGGTTTTTCAAAGTGTACTGTTAAAATCAAGGAGCTGAGCAGGATGCTAAGCTATTAAGCCAAGATGAACTTGCCAAATGCAGCAGTTAGAGACATGTCTGCTCTGCACTGCTTCACTGAGGTTTCCACCTCCACAACAGCATTAGCAGAAGGGGGTGTGTGAATGCCTTCACCACAAGCTTGTGCTGAGAGAGCAGGTCTACAGGGAGATACCAGACTGTTCCCTGGCAGATGTCTGTTTTCTTCCTGCATCTTCACTGTGAAAGAGTTAAGCTCTGACAGGGAAGCTCTGCAGGTTAGGCTTTAACTCCCTAACTACCACACCTGTAGTGATGGTGTGGGTGGGTACTTTATTATTTGCTTTTAGTAAAGCTACTAATCTCAGTTGATAAAATAAGTATTTATAAAAACCTAATTCTTGACTTCTGAGTTCCGGTTTTAAATGTGTTAATTAGCCCATGGCTTTAGGTAATTAATAGTTCACAAGTACCATACTTACTAAGGTGTCAGTGTAAAATAATTACCATGGTGAGACTGCTTCCTAACACTGTTGCAACAAATAATTTAATTGCCCTGAGGAGAATCACTCTTATTAGTATGTATTGGTGTCACATTGCTGGAAAGCTGATCTTCCAAGTGCTTGCTGCATGCAAGAGTTGTGTAGCTGGAAATACAAGATTTGGCAGCTGCTTCTAAATCAAACAAGTGAAGTGCTGAATGCAAACTCGGCCTACCAGTAGGAGATGAAAGACTTCAAGAAGAAAGTACGTGGTTGTTGCTCATTTCTTCAGCAATTCTTCTTTACTTTTGTCTTTAAACAATGTAGGCAAGCATCGCTAATGATCCTTGGTCCAGCTGGAACGTTGGGAAGTCTGGGAACTGGGATAATGGAAATGCTGTTGACAGCTGGGCAACGAAACCTGAAAGTGCAGCTGGACAGAGAAACAGTGCTTCAAATAACTGGGAGGCAGCAGCAGCGTTTGGACATCCACAGGCATATCAAGGACCAGGTGTGCTAAAAATGCTCTTTTAAAAAAATGAATTAGAGTAGGTGGACAGTAGAGGGTAGAGATAAGGATTATTTTATCTTTCATAACTGCAGACAATGGTTTATTTAAAAAACAAAAACAAACCAGTTTCCTAATAGCACATTGTCATGTGGGTAGTCTGGACACTAAAATAATAAGGGCTTTAAAAATGAAATAATTTTTTTAAAAATTGATCCACAGTAACAGATACGTCAAACTTTTATGGAAATCTGACAAACCAAAGCCTTGTGCATACATGATCTATTCTCAGGCATGTTGTTCAGCTTGCATAACTGGAACTTTTAAACTCCCTTGAATTTGTGCTCTCAGGCCTTCGAAGGAATAGTCTCTTAAATCCTTAATTCCAAGAAGTGACTAGCCTTTCAGAAGGCTTCTCTACCTTTTTGTAGTAACAGCTTAAATTAAGGGAAGAACCCATAACTGGGGAATGCTAACTTGGAGTCTGTGAATATGGAACACAACTGAGTTCATCTTAACACACTATCATCTCTTCTTTATTTTTTATTTTCTTTCTTTTCCTTCTCCCTCAGTGGATTTCTAGTGCACTGCTTTGCAGGTTGTATTTGATAGAGATAGTGGCAGTTGAGGAGGAATTGTAAAATAGAAGGCTGAAAGAGATTTTAATATATTTACCTGGTTGATTATTTGTATGTGAGTGATGAAAAGCTGTTTCTGCTTTTGAAGAGAAATTATGTAACTTTCTCCTTTCCCTGTCCCCTATTCCTTGTACTTCAGCAGCTGCTGATGACGATGATTGGGATGATGACTGGGATGACCCAAAATCAGCTTCACCATCTTACCTTGGTTACAAGGAGACTGAGGCATCAGAGGCTGGGGGGATCCAGCGTGGAAATTCTCGGGCAGCTGCTATGAAGTTACCACTTAACAAGTAATGGAAAATGCAGGGGGAATGTGTATATATTGAAGAGAATTGGAATTTGTCAAGATGTGTAAATTCAACATCCTTGAAATAAGCAATGTAAACATTACAGTTTTGGGGCAGAAGAGAAGGTAGATTTGTAGTTCAGCATACTCCGTAAGCAAGCAGAGGACACAGATACCTGAAAGCTTGAAAATACATGACAAAGCTGTACAATTTTTGGAGGTGTCATACAGGCAGATGACACTTTAACAATGCCTGAACTTCAACTTTTTAAAATTTAACTGTCTTTGACAGTTTATTCTTAATGAAAGTCAAAGGTGGTGTATGACTTGCTCATAATTGTACAAACTGATCAGAGATGCTGCCTCAGAGTTCTTGAGCAATTTGAGTTTCTGGTGGGAAGAAGTTCTGTTCTACTGTGTTTGTGCATCATGAAGGTTGATTCTTGAGCCACAGAAAGTTTGATTTTATAGATAAAAGTCTTACAGTAGTGTCAAGCTTTGTCAGGGTTATACTAGCATTATCTCATGTTGCAGCTTAATGTTTGTTTATTCTAAAACTGCTCTTACTCTGAGAACCAGTGCGTGGTAATCTCTAAGCAGATGAAAGCAGAGTGGAAAAGAATTGTAGAATAATGGTTCCTTGGATATCTAAAATCAAGTGTCTCTGCATGACTAGTTAATTTTCTTCATCAGCAGGTTCTTATGTTCAGTGTTATATGAGTACCTCTGCATCATTGTTAACTTGTAAACTCACAAAAATACCTTATTTAAGAGAATTTTTTGTCTACTGAGTAAGTCCTGCTTTACTGCTCATGTTTCTGCAAGCAGGTTAAGGGCTAATTATCTTTCTAATTAGCAGGAAGCACCATTTGCTTTTTATAAGGCATTTTGTAAGACTTTAAGAACATTGTAGTGATCGTTTGGCTTTCTTTTAATTCGATAAATTATTAAGATAACTTATGTTTAGAAGCACGTAATTGATCTTCTGTTTATCATTCTTTCAGATGGTTGAATTCCCATAATTTGAAGTCTCAGTTGCATGAGCATCTGTGTGTGTGTGTGTGGTGTTTCCAGAGAGAGTGGGGCTGCAGGGGAGTGATAGATGTCACTTTGTGTCCTCCTGTTGTGTTTGTGTGATGGACGGCAGAGCAGGAATCGCCACTTGGCTCTGCGAGAAGGGGCCTGTTACACACACACACACACACACGCAAAAGACCTGGATGCCAGTAGCCAAAACTTTTCTGCTTTTTTCAGTGCAAAATGTTGATTGTTACAGTAATTCACATAAAGTCTTTGCTAGACTTGAGAAATACTTAGAGTTTTTTCCTATAGCAGCAAGTAATTCTGCATATGTCAAAGGAAGGAGAATCTGGAATTAACTTATCACTTCATTTTATTGTTAGATTTCCTGGATTTGCAAAACCTGGAATGGAACAATATCTGTTGGCAAAGCAGCTAGCAAAACCCAAAGAAAAAATTCCCATAATTGTAAGTTGGGGTTGTGTATAATTCTTCTGTGTGGATGGTATGGGTTTTTTTTGTTTTCTTTTTTTGGTTGGTTGTTTTTTTGTTGGTTGGTTGGTTGGGTTTTATAATCCTGCTCACCTTTCCCTGTTTTTTCAACTGAACTCTCATCCTCACGGTTGCTGTATATATTTGGGTCAGAAGAAATTGATACTGAACATATAATTAGAAATAGAACTGTCATAATAAAAATCATAGGTGTGATGTTGATGATTATTTTCAGTACTTTTTTTCCTCCATCTGCATTACTTGTGATGAACATACGCCTTTTTGGGATTGGGATGCAGAGCAAATGCATTACACTGTCTATTCATGATCTAGATAGTTACATGTAGGAACTACATTTGTAGGGGTTTGCAATATTCATGCAATATGATGGTCAGGTCATTTTCTGATCTGAAACAAAACTCTTCTGCATATATGCTGCTCTAGTGAAATGTGGTTGAAATAGCCCTAGAATTCACCATTCCTTTGTTATTTGGGAAAATTTGTAAAATACACAGGATAAAGTCAACTGTGGTCATTCATCCCTGCTTGCAAGAAACCCCTCTATTTCCAGACTCTCAGCCTCTCACTGAAATCAATGAAAACTCTCAAGTGAAGAGAGATTATATTTGTCTCCTGGTTTGCAACTGGTGCAGAATGATATATTTAAAGATAATATTTGCAATTTCTTACAGATTGGTGATTATGGCCCAATGTGGGTATATCCTACCTCTACATTTGACTGTGTGGTTGCAGATCCCAAAAAAGGTTCTAAAATGTATGGTCTCAAGAGCTACATTGAATATCAGCTGACCTGCACTGTAAGTGTGTCTGAAATATGATCTTTTGCCTCACAAATATGTGTCATTTGCACGTATAAATAAAAGTTTGTATGACTTGGTAAGAGCATTGTAGGAGTAAGTGATAGTTGTCTTTTTTTTTTTTTAACCCAAGGATTTGGTTTTTTTCTAGAATTTCAATTTCTTCTGTATTAAGGCTCTAAATCATAAATTTTATTTACATTCCATGTGGTTACCATTCTGGTCATGCTTGTTTCATGTGACTGCGTGCCAAGGGAAATATAGGTTGGATATTAGGAAAAAGTTTTTCATGGAAAGAATAATACAGTACTGGAATGGTCTGCCTGGGCAGGTGGTGGAGTCACCATCCCTGAATGTATTTTAAAAAAGAGTGGATGTGGCACTTGATGCCCTGGTCTAGTTGAGATGTTAGGGCGTGGGTTGGACTCCATGATCTTGAAGGTCTCTTCCAACCTAGTGATTCTATGATTCTGTGATGTGTGTAGATGCCTGTCCAAGTTCAGAGTTGTGTTTCTCTTACAGAACACTAATCGGTCTGTCAACCACAGATACAAGCACTTTGACTGGTTGTATGAGCGGCTCCTGGTTAAATTTGGATTAGCCATTCCAATCCCTTCTCTTCCAGACAAGCAAGTAACAGGTAATTATTCCCAGTTCTGAATTCATGGACTGGGAAATAAGGAAATCAGTTTTTTAGAAGGTTCTAGTATTTCTTACTGTTTGTTTTTCCCATTATTTTTAAAGAAGGTGTCAAAGAAACCCCAACCTTTCTCCATTCAAAACTTATGACGAGTTGTTATGACTGATTTATAATAGCAGATCAGTACTAGGAGAATCACTTCAAAACTCAGGTTCAATTATCTAGTCCAGTGATTAAAAAAAAGGTAATTAAAAGCAAAACAAATCCCCCTAGATACTATATGAGGTAATAATTACTATTGGAGAGAAGAGATAGCTACTTATGTTCTGTATTTGCTGATTGGCTAGGCAAATGTTTTTGCATGGGGTTTTTTTTTTGCGGGTTGGGGAGGGGCATGCATTGTGTTTGGTTTTGTTTGGGTTTTTCTCTTTTGCATTTGATCGTGCATATGTTATGTTGTAGGAGTTTTGACACAAAGTTCCCAGAAGAAAGGGAGCATCCCCTGACAAACTGGGGAATGATGCAACTGTTTCTCCTCTTGCTTGATTTCACACTTGATTTAGAAAGCGTCTTTCATTCGTATAGTGTTCTGCTCTGGTTTGATGTCATTTCAGCTTAACCAAACTGTCTGAAGCTTGTGGAAATCTTTTATACTGACATGAAGAATAGTGGGATTGAGTCCTTTAAATGCACATAAGTTTAGTCATTGCAACAGAATATGACAATTCCTATGCATTTTCAGTAGTCTCTGGCTCCCTTTCTACCAGTCAGTGCTGGAGTGCATGTGAAGAAAAGAATGGACACCTGTATAGGAGGAACATGCATTAGTTTAATCCATTTCCATTTGTATGTTTTTTGGTAAGATTATAGAGCGTTTAAGATAAACAGCCAAAACAAACATACAAGCATCGGCATGTCGCCAACCATGTGCCTGTGGGCATCACTCAAAATGCAGCAGCTCTGCTGTGTTTGAAGAAAGCTAAGCATTGATGAAGTTGCTGGGATAAATGCCGAGGAAACTGAAAAGTGAGGAAGTGACTTCTTCCCCTTAGCCTCGTGTTTAGAATTGACCAGCATTTTTATTTAAACATGTGCATGTCTACTAAAAGGAAACCAGAAGACATGATGGGGTCTCTAGATTTAATTGTAATTATTTCTTAAAAGACCCGAGAGTCTGGTGCCACATCTTGGCAAAATCCACTGCCTGTAAATTTCTGTCTTCTGGCATCTATGGGAGAGAATACCTTGCCCCATGCAAAAAAATAATAATTAGGAAAAAAACCAGTATGTCTTTCTTTCTGATACTTGAAGAAACTGGAAAAAGGGTGCTTATCTTTCACTGCGTCCAGGAGGCTTCTTTCTGAAGACTGTCTATAAAAGCATTTCTGTCAATTGGTCTCGACAAAAAAAGATTTCAGACTGACACTGTCAGGATCCTAGTTTTGATAATACCCTGGTGATGATATGCTTAATCACCAGCATGTAACTTCCAACTGGTACTGTTCCGTTCTTCTGCACTCCTTGCAGGAATGCTGTGGAGATTTCTGTATAAATTAAAAATGAAACAAAGGATTACTGAATGGTATAGAATGTCTCTTCTGTAGTGGTGGGTGGGGGTTTTTTTTGTTGTTGTGGGGGTGTTTTTTTTGGTTTTTTGCTAATTTGCAGGAAAAATACCCACACACAAAGTTCATTTTTCATTAGTTCTGTTATTTACCTGCTAGTCTTGCTAGTTTCTGTATTTGCAAAAAACCAAAAAAGCCCCAAAACCCAAACCATAAAAACTCAACTTTGTAGATCTGCTGCCATAGTAACTATGCAGTAGAATTATATTGAAACAGTACATGCATTCAAGGTTTGTCATCTGTGCTGCTATGGAAATCAGAAGAGTTTGATGCTGGAGAAATCTCTCTTTCCTTTCAAATCCTGTTCACTGTATGCTTTAAAAGTCTGATGTCATGCATTTCTTCAAAATTAGAAAAGATACTATCAAGAAGACAGTTTCTACTAAAACTAAAAGGTTCTTATGAATACACAGTGATGAAGCATTTCTGGTTTAAGAAAAAATAGTTACTTATTTATTTTGTAGTAAAAATATCTTAAGTACCAAAAAAAATCAGTTGCAGTCGTACATGTATGTGTATATTCTAACCAGTTTATGCATATGATTTATTGATATTTTTTATTTTTTTTCCCCAGTTTACCTATATGGAAGTATGTTTAAAGGAGGCACTGCTTTTTAAATCTGTGATTTGTATTTGAGTAATTTCAAATATTTTTGAGCAATCCAATTTTAGTGTTTTTTGAGCAGTTTAATTTCAGTGCTTTATTAGCTTGTACATGGCAACTTGGATTGTAGTTCCTTTTTCTTCAATGTTTTTGAACCTCGTGTTGACCAAGACTTTACTGAAAAATACCTGCATTCTGAGCCTGTGCCTGGCTTTTCTCTTGGGTCATCTGAATACCTAAGTTTTCCGTCAAAAAGTTTATTTGTTTTTTTCGAAAAAATATATTTGAATTTTGGGTGGGTATTAGGTTTTGTTAATATTTCAAAAGGAGAACTCTTGATCAGTAATCAATATACTGTAATTTAAGGTTCTTTTGATTTCTTAGCATAATGGGCCTTTATTTACAAGTTGGACTCAGTGATCCTTGTGAGTCCATTCCAACTCAGGATTTTGTGATTCTTGTACATTCTGAGTCATTAAATTGTTAATAGCTCACCAGATGAATTACAGGTTGTTTCAGTTTAAATTTTAAAAAAAGAAATTTGAAGGTGCTTAGCCTGTAAATGTAACAATTATTATTCAATGTCTAACAGGGCGCTTTGAAGAAGAATTTATCAAAATGCGCATGGAGAGGCTGCAAGCTTGGATGACGAGAATGTGTCGCCATCCTGTTGTCTCAGAAAGTGAAGTTTTCCAGCAATTTCTCAATTTCCGAGATGAGAAGGTAGGAAATGAAATAAAGTTCACACACAGACTGAGACTGAGAAATTGCTGTCCCCCCCGAGAGTTCCCCTTCAAACCAAGAGTTCGGCTCTGTAGCCGCGCCACTGTGGGCAGCGGTGACGGGCTGGAAGCTGCTGGGATTCTTTGCTCAGCTGATTGATCAAAACAAGGCGTACAACTGCTCCTGTGAAATGCTACACACCATTCCCAAGCAGCTGTGCTCTTCAAAATAACTTTGTTGCCAGTCTTTCAAGGGACTGTTTGTATCCTCCAGCAGAATAGGAACATATATAAAACTTCTGGCTGTTTCCCTGCTCTGTATCTGCTGGATTTACTAATCATGCTGATCCTCTGAGTGGTGCTGCTCTGCTAACAAAAGGTACTTCATAGCAGATCTAGGTTGTGCCTGATCCTGTAGTATGTTTAAAAACAACTCTCTGCCCCTTCCTCGTCCCTCAAAACCACAGTTTTTCACTGAAATGGGTTGTAATAGCACTGTTGTTGCAGCCTTACCTGATATAACCAGTCATTTTTTTATTCACACACACACTTTATTATGCTTTTTAAAAGAGATTCTAGTATCTTCAGTAAATGATAAATAGAGTAAGTAACTTTTATTAGATAATGGTTTCTTCATGATTGAACTCCAGCTCTGCTAGTAATGAGGAAATAAACAGGAAAGCTCTGCTGCTCTGCTTTGCTCAAAATAATCATATTTTTAAATATACGTAGAATTTACTGAAAAAGTTAATTATCCAGTCTGGTTTTAAAAATTTCTAAGGTTCAGGTCTCCTGTGACTAAGTTGACACAGTTGACCAGTTTTGAGTCAGAGGTTGAACTACAAACATCCAGAGCTACTTCTAACCAGAAATATTCTGTGATCCTATAAGCAGAGGCTTAATAACATAGTAAGTAGTAGTCCTGGTGAAATGCTGGTTGGATGGTTAGTGGGGAGTTGTATAATTCTGCCAGCTAGTCAGCACTTCTTAGTTTCTTATTTATAGATGTATAAACAGAACAGATGTTGCAATACACAGGGAGTTTTTAACCACTAACTTAGTATGATAATTGCATAATGATTTCATGATCTTGAGCAGCTTCTGATATGAGACTTATCCTATGTGTGGAGACAGCTGAATGTCATTGTTGTTACACTGTATTTCAGTAATACACAAGAAGGGTCTGTTGATCCCAGAATTTAGATAACAAAGTTATCTACCACAAAGGGGGAGGTGGAGAACTTTGGGAAACTGTAAAAAGCCTTGTCTATTCTGAAGTTTTCATTTCTAAATGAAAGGTATTAATTCAGGGGTGATCTGTTGGTTAACAGTTCTCCTAAACATTTCATTCATTCCTTAAGAGCATGCCCTTAAAGAAGGATGAGTGGTGGTCAAACTATGTCTCCCTCTTTTTTTTTTAAATAAGGAGTGGAAAACTGGAAAGCGGAAGGCAGAAAAAGATGAAACTGTAGGAGTCATGATCTTTTCTACAATGGAACCAGAAGCTCCTGACTTGGACATGGTAGAAATGTAAGGTGACTTCTTTTTGTATGAGCATTATGCATCTGGGTATATAAGAAATGCTGAAATTATCAAAAACTCAGATACTGAATGTGTACATATATGTATGGATTTGAAGAGGTATTCATCAAGGCAGAGGTGAAAAATTGTTTAAATAATAAGATTTTCATATCAACCCCTCCAATACTTGATGGAACTCAATGTGATGTCTTTTTGACTTCAGAGGCTGAATACTAATCCTAAAACAATTTATGTAAAACTAGTTGATGGGATAGACTACTGTCAGATCATATGAAGTTATGTTTTATATTGCTGTGGAAGTGTGTTTTGGTCTTTAGTCTTTCAACAGTTCCAAAACATACTGAACTTACCGAGTAACTTAGGATAATTGTAGATGGACAATAAGCTGAACAACGTTTCTGTTAAATAGTTTTATGTAATGTACACACAGTGTGATTTGAGTATCTGTAATCCGTGGAAAGCTATTAAAAATGAAAAGTGACTTAGATTATCAAATCTCATTGTGGAAGTGCAAATGGATATATTTCTTATATATATGTATATTACATATATATGCACTTTATAATGTATATTCTGTAGGTGATAAAGATTTGGGTTTCACAGATTTAAAGACTGGATTTACTATGCAGCCCTTATTTCACTCCTTTAGGCTTAATAATTTTTCTTAGAAGACTCAGTATGTATGACATGCTTTTCTTGCTGTTGTAGAACACAGAAACCTGGATAATGTCCTCTGTGTGTGTGGATAAACTGGATAGAGGTGTTTTTAGTAGCAAAGCAGTGGTGTATCTACACCTAATACAGGCTTTATACAAGTGATGCAGTGCATTTTGAGTGGATGTAATGGCTGTGTGGTAGTAGTTCTGTACCTGCACATTTTTAGGTGACTTACACTTCAACCATGGGGATTTCAACCTTGTCTACTTCACTTAAGTGATGTGGTTTCTGTATATCCCAGTGGTGTAAAAGCTGACGGGGTGAACGAGGGAGGATTTTGTACCTAGGGTGCAGGAGAGGGAATGTCCTACATACATACCCCTGGCAGAGAGTGCCCAGCATGTGATCTGCTACACAGTTTGTGCCCAAGCAGGGAGGGCACACCAGTCCTAGGAGAATGCTCACTAGGGGTATGGGTTCCTGGGCTGGGGCTGGCAGCCTGGAGTAGTGCTGGGGTCCTATTTCCAAGCAGTTGCAGGGGTGACTGCAGCATCTCAGATATCCACATATTCTAGTGCGTTAAATGTGTATGTGAGTCTTGAAAGCCATTACTCCACTTAAAAAGTAGACAAACCATCTTGTTCAATAACTCTTAGGTTCTTCAGTGTGAAGATGTTCTTTACTGAACAATTTTGCTAGTATTTTGAGAGTCTTGCACAGGTTCATATACATTTTTGGTGATATTGATACCATAAAGTATGAAGTTCAGAAAACTAAGGGATGTTTTTCTCCTGAGGTAAGGGGAGTAAAGCAAGAGCCTCTTAAAAGCCCAGGTGCTGGTTTTGTGCAAATAACTATGTATGTATGGTTTCCAGCTGAGGAAGGAAGTGCTAGTGGGGAAGTGGGAACCTCTAGGTTGTTGGACCACAGCTGGAACAGCTGCCCTGACTCTGAGGAGTCAGTCATTGTACCCTTACTGTGACAGCTGTCTCATGCAAGCTTTGGCTGAGAGCATTTGTAAGATCTGATGCAGTTTAAATAATTCTTGTTGGAAATTATAAAATGTGTGTTTAGTTTTCTTTTGTAGAGTTCACAAATCACTGCTGTGTATGCAGTGCTGTGTTAATGGAAAACTCTGATAGCTGCATGAAAACATGCTTAAAGAGGAGTGCAAAGGCACATACTATTTCAGAATTCTCTGGTTTTGCTCCCTATAATGCAACTCAGCACAATGATATTGACAATACAATATGAAAGTATGCATATATATATTTCCCTAGGAGAATTGTTATATTGTTTTTTATTCACTTATGTTAGACTTCTATCAAACTATCTATCTTCTATCAAACTTCTATCAAACAGTTATTCTCTTTTTATTTTTTCATTGTTGTATGAATTTCAGTGCTTCTTTTACACTGTAATAAGAGTGCTAGTCCAGTGCCATGTGTCTACAAGTTTAACAGAGGAGGAAAATTGAAACAAATAATGCTTCTATCTAAAGAGAGGAATTCTGAATTCAGTGAAATTGCAAAAATTTCAAGGAATTGATTTTAATCTCTCATATTTTTAAATGCATCTATTAAACTGCTTTTTGTTTTTGCTTTTTCAAAATGCCGCAGAGAACAGAAATGTGATGCAGTGGGTAGGTTCACCAAAGCAATGGATGATGGAGTTAAAGAGCTGCTGACAGTGGGACATGAGCACTGGAAGAGGTGTACAGGGCGTAAGTGTCCTTCTGAACTCAGCAGTCATTTCTGTGGTGCTTTTCTCTCTCTTCTTTTTTTAATGTGTATCATTCAAGGCACATCTTTAAAGAAACTCCTAAATTATCAAGGGAATTATACGACATTCTGGATATTTTCAGTCTAAGAATATAAATTGTGCAAGTTCTTTGTTAGTATCTTTGATGTGGGGCTTTTTGTTGGGTCGTTTGGGTTTTTTTCCTTTATCTCAGAAATATCTGTTCCCTGCCCATAGGTTTAAACATATTTAAAGTTTAATAATTTTAGTAATGCAGCTAAAGCTCTTGTTGGACCTGCTCTCATATATTGGTCATTTATTTACATTTTAGTGACATGGGCAAATTAGACCTGTTTATTTGATGAAATCATATTTTCAAATAATTGCATCTTATTAACCCCTTATTTAGGATCCTTGCATGCTAGGAGGAGTGATTTAAAGATTAAAAGAAAAGAAAAACCAACTTGATTCTAACTTAATCTTTAGCCCAATTCTTTTTTCTCCTATCTTGTCTCTTCCTTCCCACAGATATTTAGGGTTGCAGAACTTCACACCAAGTCCCTATGACTCTGCCTGGGCTCTAATTTCCTAGTCCACAGCAGTGTTCAGTGTTTGTGGCCACCACAAGGCAGCTATTGAAAGGAAGCAGGTACTACAGCTGAGAATCATAATAAGAAACACTTCAAGGCAGGCTGTAGTGTCTGGCAACCAAAGACCTACCACATAAATCTCCTTGAATCTCCTTAAATTTTTTTACTCTCCTTTTAACTCCCACAAAAAAAACCCAAAACATTGTCCCTAGTACTTGGAGTATATTACCTGAGTTATGTTTTTGCCTCTTACTGATCTAACACTACAGTTGAATATTTGGGGCTGACCACAGAGAATGGGAAGTGTAGAAGCTCCATCTCTTGTGAAGTGACCACATTAGACTTCAGTACCTATAGGATGTTAACTTCAAGTTATTTACATTTCCCAACTTTGAATAAACGAGTTTCCTTCTACACACCACTCACCCTCCTGCTGGTCAAAAATAGTCTAATGCATGACAGAGCTCTAACATGTTACAGAACTTGCTTCACTAGCAAATTATACTGAGAGGAAAGTGGAGAACAGGGGAAGGAATAAGGTTCCTCAGAGGAGACTAGAAAAACAGCATTGCTTTGCAGTTACAGAAGCAGTGACCAAACCAAGGGCTGGCTGTCACTTGTGCTTACAGTAGAAATTCAGTGGTTTTTTAACTGCTAAAATCTTCCTAAACTTACAATACTAGTGCTTTAGATAGTGAATGACTCTTCTTATACTTACAACTATTAAATAGTTAGCTCAGATGAAGCAATACAGTTTTGATTGTCAAAAATTTTAATTTTCCAAACATTCATACTGAATACGAAAAAAAGACTGGTAAACTGGAACATGCAAAGTTTTAGTAGTCTCTTAGGTTTTAAGTTCCCTATCAGCTCTAGACTTGACTCTTAATCAGAAATTTTTTTGGCACTTCCTGAGCAATAGTTACATGCCTTCCATTCAGTGAGATTTAAAATAACTCACAGTGGAAACTTCTAAAATACATGTGAAAAGAAACCAAAGATTCTTCTCTAAAGTTTCCACTGGAGATTCAGTATCAGTGTAGTGGCTGATAATAGAACTCTAGTACTCTAAATTGTACTTCTTGTATAAGACATATCAGTTATCATAAATAGTTTGACTTCTGGAAAAGAGCTTGATCAAAGATAATCAATAAAATCAGGCAGTTGTGGTGAGGGGTTGATTTGGGGATTGTGTGGGGTTTTTTTATACCACACAAAAGGGTTCTTCTGTAAAAATCAGATTCCGTGGGATGCTAGAGCAGCTAAAAAGCTTCTATTTGCCTGAGCAGTGTACCCTCTGAATACAAATGTTTGATAACAAACCCGTATCTACTTGGTTTTTTTTTCTGCTAGCATTGGCAGCATATAAAAAATTGCTTTTGCTTTTCAGATTGCTTTTTAGGCCTCTGAAGTAGTGCTGTTCAAAGTGTTAATAATGAATGCACTCATAAATCACAGCTGATTGATTTTAATTGTGATGGAGCAATTTATGCATGCATGTTCAATAAATAGATTATAAAAAACTATTTTATTATTCAGAGACTTGCATAATTTTTATACCTAGATAATCTTGATTTCTAGTGCCTTTAAATATAAAATTCATGATTTGAGGAGAGTTTAGGTATTATGTGTCTGTATAATAATCTCCTCTCTTAAAATATTAATGAGACCTATTCTCCATATCACACTGCAGCACTTTCCCCTCTTCTTTCCCCCATGAGGGGGAGGGAGAAAAATCTCACTCTATGCATAGGAGGACTGAGCTGGAAATACAATGAGATTTCATTTTTTTTAATAGCATCCACACAGTTTCCCCAGCTGTTTGTACCTTTCAAGAATCCAGATTGCAATTGCTTTATCCAGTTTTAGAACATGTGTAGCAGGGGAGGGGGTAACAATTATGATTGTAAATGTGTCACTAGAGAAAATGTAAAACCTTGGTGTTTTTGACATCTGCTTTATTAGGTTTTGGAAATGCTGCAGATTTTGTGTCACTTACCCTTGTTGGTTTCTTGCTTTTGTTTCCCCTCTTTTCCTCATCCTTTTCCCATTTTCAGCACTACCCAAGGAATACCAGAAGATAGGAAAAGCATTGCAGAGCCTGGCACTGGTCTTCAGCACTAGTGGATACCAAGGTACTTCTATAGCTTCATTTGTACTTTGCTTAAAAAGAGGCATTTTAATTACATCATACTAATTTTTTTTTCCTCAAAGATCTTAATGCTTTCCTCTTTGAGATTTAAATGTCGAACACGGTTCTGGAAAAAATACTGAAACCTTTCTCCTGTGTATGTTATGGGGTTTTCATGTTCTAGTCTGCAATCTTGTCTTCTCTCGCTGTATAATCTTGTGGTGCATTAGTGGTGGTGGAAGAGTTTAGTTTGATCTCTTAATATATAATCTGGTCACTGACCTGACTGACCAAACATGCTGTAGCATTTTTGATATCAAAGAAAAAGGAGAAAAAATGCAGCCTTGAAAATAGCTGTCACAGGACTATTGTGTGACTCCATGATACAACAACTCCACATGATGATGGAAAACTTACTACATTGTTTTGTAATCCATTATGTGGGCTGGAAGGTTGGCCTTCACCTTTGCTTCTCCTTCAAGAGCCCTAAAAAAGACCCTGTCATGTTAGGTATGAAAGTTGTGGGAGGGAAAAGGAGGGCATCAATTGCTCCAAGTTCTCCTAAAAAATATAGTCTTTAGACCAAATTTTAAATTCTGCTTTGATATGCTAAGCTCTATTGATGTTTTCCTGACAACTGGTAAATATTTCCTCATATACAGAGGGTGCCTTTTGAGTCAGTTTTCCCTGGGATTCTCCTTTCAAAGGTGTTTGAGGTTTTGCTTTTTGGTTTCTAGACTTGATAGCAAAATTACTGTGTTCTGAAACCTTAAATGTTATAGCATAGAAGCTTCCTGAAATGTTTCCATCTGAGAAATTTCAGTTGGCCAGTACTTACTCTGACTACTCATCTATCTTTTGCTTTATAATCTTAAAACATTTAGCCCCGTAAACGATGTACTAAAATGCAACCTTCTGAAACATAGATTCTCTGCTGCTGGAAGTATTGGAAATAGGCCCCATAGTTTTTTCTCCTGTGTCTTGTCTGCTTAGAATTGAGCATAGCATGTTGCCTAAAAAGTCACTTTTGGATGTGAGAATGAAATAGGGGATTTGCAAGCATGGTTATGTATTTTTAGAGAAGATTAGAAAACTATCAATCCTGCCTGGATAAAATCTGTAGCAAGAAGTCTTGAGAAAGGACTGAAAATTGCTTGGGCTCTAGCACATTCTTTTGCCGGGATAAAGGGAAAACAGTGTGTCATAAAGCTAGGATACAAAATTGCAGATCAGCCGTAGAAAGGAAAGCTTCGAGTTGTTTTCCAGCGTCTTTGAATGGAATGAAAAAATAGATCCCATGATAGTTTGGGAACAAGGTAAGCATGTCTGTCTTTGCTCTTTGCCCAGTCATAGCTGGCTGCACCTGTATCTTGTTGAGAAAAGTGCCCTTCCTACAGATGCCTTTGCCTTGATTCCACACGTTTTGCTCTTTGCAATAACTTGTTGCCTTGTATTATTTCCAAAGTAATAATGTATGAGATTCTTTGCTTTTTAATTTGAGTTCCCAGGAAGAGAGAGCAAGTATGATGCACATGTGGCTTTAAATGGCTTCTCACTGCTTCTCTCTGTCCTGCCTGCTGCTCATGTATGGATTCACCTGATGATTCCATCAGGTTCATGTCTATGGATTAAGCAGATTCTCTGCAAGAGATGTAAGCACCTGGATTTAAACTAGGGCACAGCTTTCCAGTATTTAAAAGAGGACACATTGCTTCCAATGAAGTAGTAGCTAGGCTTAGTATGATGAATGATTTTTCTGGACTATCAGTAAAGAGGAATGGCTCATTCAGTCATGCTTAAGGGCACTCAGTTCAGTTTCTGTTGGGAGCTTAATGTCTTCATCCTTGCCTTTTTGTTTTGATTGGGTTGGTTCTTTGAATCTTTTGTAATACTAGTGTTCTGAAAATGTAAGCATATAGGCCACTAAAGATTGAAATGACTGATTTGATGACAGAAACATTTCTAGCTACTGGTAGCTGACTTCTGACATACTGCATTTACTATTAGTTGGTTCATTTGCATAGTTAGGATAGGATGTATCTAGTGTCCATACCACTTTTATTAGTGATGCCTGCTTGCTCTGCAAAATCTTATGTGGTGATGTCTACTGCCTTCTCTTCTACTTTCTAGCTTAAGATATTTAAGATTGCAGCAGGCAAGATACACTTGTTAATCTGACTCACTCTAGCTCTTTTTCTCATGCTACAGAATGAGCCTTATCTATTCATTGCCAGCCCCAGTGTGTGTTAGGGATCTGTCTCTAGTATTTGCAGACACAAGGGTACCTTTAAAAGTATTAAGGACGTACAGAAAGGTTCTGATTTAACTTGGCCATGGGCTTATGTACTGTCTAGTTGGTTCCAAGAATGCACACTTTGCAAGCACAATCCTTGTCCAAAAATGCATGTTGGACAGTACCAGAACATGCCTGGAAGTGTCCTGCACCCTGGCCACGTGTTGCCTATATTACTGTATCACAGGATACTCTAAGGTTAACACAGCCTTAAATAGCATGGCTTCTGTTTTGCGGCACCAAATCTGGAGGAGTCTTTCTCCTATATTAAGAAATGTGAATGAATGGTATGCCATTCACCATAGTAAGGTCTCCTAATCCTACATCACCCCTCGGGAATTCTGTTAGGCAGTTACATGCAAGTTTCACTATCCTGTCAGCTAGCAACAGGCAAATCCTGCTTTACAAGCTGCTTGTGTGCTGCACGTATCAGTTTGAAGTGTACTTATCAAGAAGAGCTTTGCTGCAAGTATTTTCTGCTAGTACATCAAACTTTGTGATTTTTCCTACTGAATTATATTAAAATGTACTTTGAAAGAAAAGAAAACTAAAATACTTCTTGACAAAAAAAATTCATCTGTCCCAGTCAAAACTTGGAATATTATCCCCCAATATGTCTGGTATATTCCTTCTGAAATTATTATCACTGGAATTTACCAAGCAGTTGAACTAAGAGATGCTCTATTAAACATCTCCAAAAGGCTTCTCATAGTTTTATGTCTTTCTTTGTCTCCTTATGACAGTATGCAGCCTGTAAATCAATGAAAATATGTTTCTCCATGTGATTGGGTTGATATATCTGTGGAATATTACTGGCCATTTTAACTGCTCTTTTTATAGATGCTTTCAGTCAGAGCTTTTAGGCCCCCTATTCTTCTGGGAATATATGTACTGAACACTAACATAATTTTGTTATAAATGTTATCAACATTTGGGGCTTTCTGCTCTTCCATTGATTAAAGAACCCCTGACATGCTTATGTATCCTTGCACTCGGACCCAACTCAACTTTCACAGACTGAGTTAAGAAAGCAATTCCCAGTTTTGCATTGGTTCAGAAGCTGAGAATGCTGAGAATAAAAGATGATTGGTGTTGGGAGAGTTTGTCTAAATCCTTTAAAACTCTGATCTATGAAGGTTCCTTGAGTGAGCTTGGCACAGAATGGAAGGATTTTGTTGTTCAACTTAAATATATACACTCTTCCTCTTTTTTT